TTAGGGTGTCTAAGGTTTTGTTTTGTGGGACGCAGCGATACATGACCATTGCATTATGTATTGCTACATTGAGTAGTCTCTTGAATAGTTTCATGTACCACTTTGTTTCCTTCTTTCGTTCCAGTAAGTACGCCTGGAGCATCTGATCTTTCAGATCAACTCCCAGCATGTGTTTATTGTAGTCACGAACTACCAGAGGCTTTATCTCTTCTCGGTTGGCTTTGTTTACAGTCACGCATATCATCTTTGTGGTATGTTGATATCATGGTGACTCTCTTCTTGTCTTGCCACGCGAGAACTGACACATTGCCAGAGTGTTGACCACAGTGCTCTCCTTTCTTCAATTTCTTATCTTTCACTGCAGGAGGGACATTCTTCCTGTTAGCACGTAAAGTCCCAACACAGTCTGTTTTTTTGGACTTTATAAAATGTGCCAAATCAGGTGAATTATAGAAATTGTCCATCCACACTGTGTGTCCACGACCAAGAAGAGGTTCTAACAGTGTGACTACAATTGCTGCAGTTTAGCTTGTTTCTGCAGTCAAACTGATTCGCCAGTTCCATGCCTTTTCCAGTATACACGAGAAAAGACCACACATAGCCAGAACTAGACTCGCATAGTTCAAACTTTTTTTTGCCAAATTTAGCAGCCTTGAGGGGTATGTATTGTTTGAAAGACAAACGACCTTTCCATAGAGTCAAGGACTCGTCTATCGAAATGTTCTGGGATGGAAGATACAAATTTTGAAACTTGTTATTTAGGTGCTGAATGACTGGATAAATTTTGAAAAGTTTAGGAGGTCCTTGATATTCATTTTCCTTATTATTATCTGCAAAATGCATAAATTTGTTTATTAGCTCTAGTCTTTCCAGAGGTAAAGTTTCAGGAAAAAATGGAGTGAACAGCAGCCGGTTCTTTGAATAGTCAGATCTAAGTGTAGGCTTTTGAACAATGCCCATCACCATAAATACAGCCAAAACCACGTAAATTTCGCCCACTGTAACATCTTGCCACTTCCTAATCCTAGAGTGAAATGTGAGAGGATGGGCACTTTTTGATATTTCTTGCTGAGCATATCTGTTGGTTTCAACAACAATGTGCTGTACAAGAGCTATATCAAAAAAAATTTCGAAAAAACCCATGACATCTAGTTCAGCAGTGTCGGACTGGGGACCACATATATTACAAAATGCTTCCCGTGAAGGAGTAAATGAATCTATATCTTTCCACACAAACTTGCTGGAAACTGCCTCTACGATTTGTTTCTGTATTTGGCCGCCACCATTGTCACTTTCTGTATCACTAATAACGTCATCTCCGGGTGTCACCAACTGTGCGTAATCAATTTCTAACACACGATCTTCATCAGAACTGTATTCACTGAGAGAGTCATCTGCTAGAAATTCTTCTACTTGGGCCTCTGTCAAGGCACAACTTGCTGAAGGCCACTCCATTGTAAGTATGAGGCCAGGCTTTTATTTTTAGACTCCCAGGTACTTGCTGGAGGGAAAGGCAACAGGGTTGCCACATCTTCTTACAGAGGATTTTTCTCACAACAGACCAGTGTAAACCTCATCGCGCTGGAGTTAATCGTTCCATACTTATGGGCTGTTAAATTTAGGCTTACAACCTGGCGTAATACTACTGACATACACAGCCAGGGATTTAAATGTCCTGCATAACTTTACTGAGTCGCACGCTCAGGGGTTAACATTTTGAGTACCCCAAAATTTATAAGGTAAACTTACTTTCATGCCCATAACAAGAAATGACCCAAAAATTTGTTGGACAATGTTATTTATTATGTTGCCCTCAAATTTACATCACTTTTCCAGATGTGACTTCAATCCACTGTTTCCTTTCTACCACCATCCCACAGTATGGGTTCATTAATGCCACCAAGTCATACTTCGGTCTAGGTGCATCACTGAGGGTCCTTCTGTGTTTTAAATTACCATTGCAAAGAATTTTATAAATTGCTTCTGTCAAGTTTTAATACCCGCTTCCCAAGAATCGGATATAAGGTGAACCTTATATTGAGAATTTGGTGTTTCCCTTCTATCAGCCATATGTAAATGTTGCCAGCCATTCTGTCATTATGATAATCTTTCTCAGTTTTTATCATTAATTACCATGATGCTAGTTAATGCAGAATCATTACATAGCAAGACAGTTTAAAAGTGTGTTACATTCAGTGTTGGTGGTGGTGATAAATCCATCGTTCAGTGTACAGAAATTCAGCCACAACATTTTAAGGGCTGGCTCTATCTTCAGGTGATAAAACCTACTGTGCTGATCCACTAGAAGGTGCTCTATTTCAGTATACCAAATGATGGATTTAGTTTAAAAAAACAATACTGAAGTGAAGTTACTTAATTTCCAAAAATACAGACATTGTTACTTGATACACAACACATAAACATAAAAGGTTTGGAATACAAATGCACAAATTGTGTAGGTAGTGCAAAAATTCATTCTACTAGCATCACGTTTGATACAGGCAGAGATAGATAATTTGTACTTGTGACCACATAGTATCAGGTCACCCACATGCTGAGATTGTGGGTTTTGAATTTTATTCAGGGCATGGATGTTTCTATGCATGTTGTACTTTGATTTTGTAGGCCTTGTAATGGTCTGTTTCATTATCTTAGTGCTTCTTCTCTGATGATAATTTATAAAATCTCAGCAATTATCTGTGCCTGGTGAGCTGAGGCCAGAGAAATCAGATTTAATATTTTAATCCAAAACAAGGACTGTGATGCAAAATATACTACAAGATCAGACTTCCATGTGATACTTGATTTACAGTTCATGATCATCTTAATCCTTTAAAGCATTTTAAGTTATATTTAGTGTTGGCCTTGCAATGGGTGATGTGCTTTTTGTCTGAGAAGAGTTTAGAAGATCCCAGCAATTATCTGTGCCTTGGGGGGCAGAGGTCAGGGTCATCAGGTCTATACATTTAGCCAAAACAACAAAGACTGTGACTATAAGAACATACTTTCATGTGATACTTGATTCACAGTTCATGAAAAACTGTAACATATCTTCTTCCTGGTTTACTACTTCAAATTTCATTGATGATGAGCCTGTGAATGGAAAGCAGTATAGTGCAGGATGAGCATGAGACATGCCTACCTCAATTCACTGTCACACTTGTGCTACATCTTGTAACCCCTCATCAATCCCTGTACTGGTGTATGCTAATTCTATACTTGTAAGAAAACCCAACTTTTATGTGCTAGGTCATGAGGTTTTGTATTAGCCACTTATTGTCCTGCTTTTATTTTGTCAGTTTGTGATTCCTTTGTATTTCATTTATATTCTGGAATATTTTAAGCTTGGGATCAGAAATGGATAGCCAATTCTGAGTGATGTAGGGGTACCTGAAGTACATGGGAAGGCAGAGGTTTTAGGAATTTTCGGACTTGGAAATTCCCTTGTACCTGAATTACCTGCTGTTAGCCCAAGTGGGTTTTGCCACTCATTAGCCATGCCCTTTAGAATTAAGTGTGTGGGAGGAACTCCCTGAGGATTGATTGGGAAAGGGGAGGTCCTTCGAACTGAACCTTGACCCACACCAATAGGAGTTGATGTTACATTTCCTTTTGGGCAAAGCTGGGAATATTGGTTGTGGAGCCATAAGGGTGCTTACAGTATAAAAGGGGGCTATTTTGGCCCCAGAGGATTATTCAAGATTAGATTGCCAGATTGCAAGCTAGAGTATTAAGAATGGAGGTGATTGAGAAGTCAGTGTGTGGCTCTGCATTTGGGAGGATTGTGAAACTTAACAATGTATAAAACATCAAGAATTAGACTGCGTGTCTTGTGATCAGCATATGTAGATCAACGATCAGGCAGGTCATAAATAAAGTGTGTTCCATCCAAATCAATCCGAGTGTTCAATCTGGCTGTGACACCGAATGAGATAGTCGATGCATACCGACTAGCTGAACTGAGCATAGAACCCTAAGAGATCCCTAGGACCCAACAATCATTACCAACCACATTGTTGTGGAAGCTGCGATCAGCAAGGACAGAGGAGAATGGTTACAATCTATTAAAATCTCAGAGTCTGAACTGAAATCATTGCAATCTGACACTGATATTTCAGTGTCAGATTCTGAAATACTGATAATTTCCACTTCACTTCTGTTCTCATAAGTATTGCTATCACATTCCATTGTTTTTATAGATATTAACTTCTTCACAATCACAGCATGCAGATCTCACTGCAAGTATCACAGGAACTTATGACGTGCTGCAGAAGCATAAAAGTCCTGTTCACATGCAATCTAGTGTAAAAATATATAAATATGTGAGGTTTATGTAAGTAGAGTAATCTGTTTTCTACTAACACCTAAGAGTCTGATGAGTGTATTTTCTTCATCACTCAAATTAACTTGTTTTAGTAAAAAAAAGGATGGAAGAATAAATATTATCCCAAGATAACTCAGGTTGTTTGTTTGTTTATCTGTCTGTCCCTTCTTTCTCTCTCTCCCTCCCCACAAAAAAATCATCAACCTAAGATGAAGATGGCTGTCTTTTGGGTTGTTGCTTTATGTAGTCTTGCAGAAGTTTACTGACTTCAGAGGTCCTTGCTGCCTCCATCATTGCCCTGATGATTGAGGCAGCAAGGACCTCTGAAACATCGGTAAACTTCTACCAGACTACACAGTGCAACAACCCAGAAGACAGCCATCTTCAGACACATTGCCATGAAAACCTCAAATCCTATATATCAACCTAAGATACCTCAGGATAAGCAGGGAAGCAGTAAAGCCAAAACAAGGACTGTGATGTAAAACAGACTACAAGATCAAACTTCCATGTGATTCATGATCTGCAGTTCATGATCATCTTAATCCTAAATTATACTTGAATTGTGTTGGCCTTGCAATGGACTGGTGTGCTTCTTGTCTAATGAGGGTTTAAAAAATTTCAGCAATCATCTGTATCTGGTGGGCAGAGGCCAGGGTCGATTTGATACCTTAAGCCAAAGTAAAAAGGACTAATATAAAATATACCAGACTTCCATGTAATTCTTTATTCACAGAATTTATTTATAGTTTTTACATGATTCTCAGAGTAAGCAGTGATTATATCTATAAACAATTTTGATGAAGTGATCTTTGTAATAGAGAATTGTGTCTTTTTGAGATAAGAAAATAATTTTTAAATGTTATTTAGACAAGCTTCACCTTCAAAATGTTAATTATTCTCTGAAGCATTGATTAAATTTGGAAATTAAGCTTTGTTTAATGGATGGTGTAATGTAGGTTTAATTTGAAAGTTGAAAAACTTTGAACTTCAAATACTAATGAATTTCATAGATGTCCCAGTGAATGTGGTTTGTCCAGTCACTGTTAAATAAGTCGTGTTATTTTACAGTTAACACGTGTTTACTGTGTTTGATTAACAATATTAAGATGTGATATTTAGCTGCTGTTAATGTCAGCAGTCTTAACTGCCCATCTTTGGTTAAAATGAGGCTGGGAATTGAAATATTAATCAGGATAGAACTTCAATAATTTTTGCTTTTTGAAAAGATTTATAATTTTCATATGTGTTGCAGAATCTCCAGTTACGTGAAGATTTGCCAGATAAGGCTCAAAAGATCAAGATGCTTGGTGTGTATAGTGCAAATTCTGACAATCTTCCAGCTATTGTTGAGTTGGCAACAGCTCTAGAAAGTGGCAGGTGAGTAAATTAACTTGTTTATACAGAGTGAGTCAGAAGTATGTTTACAAACTTCGTGTGCGTGTTCCAGGATCAAAAATAAGAAAAAATGTTCCTATGAACATGGAGTCACAAAAGTTTCATTTTAGAAATAATAACCTAAAATAATTTTCAAAGTATGCCTTTATTGCCAAGTATAAGGACAGGGATGTTTCTTTATAACAGATGCTCAAAGGTTGTTCCTCCATTCTTCACACATGCACGAGCACGACGTACACAAGACTGACGAATTCGTTCGTACACACCAGGGTTTCCTCGAATCATCTGGCATGCATTCTGCACACGTTCCCAAAGGGTCATCATCGTTTATGGGTGTTGTAAAAACGACGGACTTCATGTGACCCCACAGATAAAAGTCCAATGGAGTCAGGTCCGGTGACCTCGGTGGCCATGCTATTGGGCCACCACGCCCAATCCGTCGCTGAGCGCACTGTTCATTGGGATATCTGACGCGATGGGAAGAGTGTGCTGGGGCTCTGTCGTGCATAAACCACATTTGTCTTCTTGTATTCAATGGTACATCTTCAAGGAGACGTGGCAAGTGTCTTCTTAAGAATCCATGATATGAAGGTCCTCTTAGACGCGATGGAAGCATGTGTGGACCAATAAGCATGTCGCCAGCAATTCCTGCCCAAACGTTAATTGAAAATCTTTGCTGGAAGCTGGATGCACTGTGATATAAAGTCAATTCATTGAAACTTATTTTTGGCTATTATTTCAAAAATGAAACATTTGCGACCCCAAGTTCATAGGAACATTTTTGCTTATTTTTGATCTTGGAACATGCACACAGTTTGTAAATATTCTTCTGGCTCTCTCTGTATAGAGAGAGAGATTTCTGTTAACACAGTTTGAACCGAACTGCAAGCACAGTGCTGATGGATTTAGAACTGTGTCCCCAATACTATAAAACTTTCACTGCATTCCAATGATGGGTTCAATGTCTCCCACCCTCAGCCATAAGCTAATTCTCCAGTTAGAAGGCATTCATCTGGTCAGAAATTCAAAACAACAAAATATGTAGCTTAAATGTTCTGAAAAGCATTGAAGCTAAGTGCATTAACCTGTCCAGCTTACAGCAAAAGGATTGTCCAAGATATAAGGTATTGTGGAGATGTAAAATTATAGGTAATTTGCCAGTTCCAATTAAAAATGTCTAATATAGATGGGTGTCCGGGATGTAGGGGTATCCAACTTGAGGGGGTTTATTCTGTGTGTGTGTGCACGTGCGTGTGTGCACACGTGCATACATATACATACACATGTGCACAGTGTAGGTCTATATCACTAAAAACTAGATTCTTATTTTTAGCTTTGTTCTTAATTTTTTAATTGATACTTTCTATGACATTCTTAAAAGAATTAATTTCCTCAGATAGACGTTTTTTAATATTTTACTGCTATCACATTATAAATTTAATCATTGTCTTTTTTCGTATTATTTTATTGTCCTATTGATTTTTGCACACATTCCTCAATTCAAGTTGGTTGGTTGGTTGGTGTTGTTTTTTATTATTATTATTATTATTATTGACCGCATATTCAGTTTTGTAAGAAATGTTACATCCTAGGTAGTTAAAATGTAAAGCTTGTTCTGTAATTCAACTTAGAATAGCTAGTTTGCAGTATATTACAGTCAAACTCTTTTTATAAGAAGCACAGTTATAACAGGATCTTGGCTATTGCAAGCAAACAGAGAAGAGTTGGTTGGAAATGATGTATTTTATAAACAACATTTCACGGTTAAAGCGATTGTGGTAGTTGAGAGCTTGACGGGTATTACGATCATATCTTTGAGCCATTATAACAAGCAGTGGCTGAACTGCTGTACAAGGGACTAAGATCTATTTTTGCTTTGCCCATTTATGACATTCTCCCCCTTATCTCTTTCCACGTCCCTGCCGATAGCAATTTCTAACCCTTTTATCAATATTTTCAATCGGCATTCATAATGTGTTTGGTTTGATTGTCATTCTCAGAATCTCATTTAGTGCGGTACGCTACTCACGATGAGCATAGTCCTTGTTCCAGTGGTGTAGCAGAAATTCCTGCAGACCCTTCATGGCTAGGGTGCTGAAGGCCTACGGGGGCTCTGTGGCATCAGGGCAAATGTATAGTGATACAAATGGTTACCCATGGTGGGGGAGGGCAGAATGATTTCACTACACCACTGCCTCGTGTAAATAGAGCATGTTCTACGCTGCGGGTGCACATGACATTGAGCTTTTTGTTTTTTCCCCAATCTTGTAATCCTCTCTTCTGTCTCTTTCCTAATGTTGTGGACTCTCAGAAGACCTAGGGAGGGAAACTACCTGCAAACTAACCAATGAAATTTTTCTTTTTTGGTGTGAAATATTCAGCTTTCAAATTTAGTCGAAATGAAGAATTCAGTGCAATTTCAAATCTTTGTGAGTGTACATGTCTTTTTAAAACTTGGGACAAACACTTGGAATTTTTAAAACAATTTTGATTCTGTGGTTTAGGTTTTGTTGTGCTGTGTTAAATTTGGTTCTTTTTTTCACCTTGAAATGGCAGGGGAGGAAAGAAAAATTTTGACAGTCAGTGAGAAAGTGGAAATTATTTGTGACATAGAGAATGGAACAAGCAATGCATCCATTTGCAAAAAGTTAAGACTGAACTCATCAATCGTGTCAGCCATTTGGAAATACTGGGAAAGCATTACTAGTGCCTTTGAAAAAACGTCATTGTGATAAAGTGTAATCATGAGCTCTGTTTATTGTTGGTTTTATCCCTTTTCTGTAAGTATATATCTGTGTGCATGTGTGATAAAAGTACTGAGTAACAGCAAAAGGAATATATAGTTATAATAACAGATATAACAAGTAACAGTTATAACAAGCACTTTTCCTCAGTCCCTTGGATCTCATTATAACTGAGTTTGATTGTCAATATTTCCTGTAACACATATCCTCTGATTCCTGAATAATAATTTGATCATAAACAAATAGCAATGTGTTAGGGAACCTGTTTCATTTAGATTGATACATGAGTTGACTTGTTACCTTTTTCTTAAAATTTCATAGTGATTAAATTGCATAAAGTTGTTGAATTAGAACACTTCTCTCTCACAAATTGTCTAAAATGTGGTAGTTTATTGTCACCCAAGTCTGTCCACATTTTATAGTTGTATAAATGCTTTCAAAGTTCCATTATTAAGTGTTAACAAATATAAAGATTTCTGTCTTCTGGGTTATTGCGCTGTGTAGTCTGGTCGATGTTAACCAACGTTTCAGAGGTCATACTGCCTCCGTCATCAGGGCGATGAATATGCCAATAGGGTGTGAGGAGTTGGATTTTATAG